ATTTAATGTTAATTTCATGTAATTTCATGACTTTCATAATGGGGCTGGGTATCAAACGTCAACATCTTTTCTCAGACCAACTGCACTGGTTTGATGATATTGAGGACTGAAAAATACCTTGTCAGTCGATACCTAAGGCCAGGAACACACTGGCTGCGTGGTGTGTGCGTGGCAGCTGCCAAACGTCTTGGTTTTCATTTCGGCATCCATGTTAGCCGGTTAAAGCGACACTGGCTCACGTCTCGCGGCTGCGTCACGCGATCTAGAGCGGAACACACGCAACGCAGGCAGTGTGTTCCTGGTGTAAGTGAGCCAATCAGAATGCAGCGTGCTCTGACCAAAATATAATAGAGCTGGTGATTGGCTGATTATTTACACGAACATGTTTGAGTAAAGAGACGGAGCTTCAAAATAAAACTAGAGTCAAACTAAATTTGTAGAGTGAAGTGTAATTTTCCTTCTGTATCATTAAGAATCAAAGTATCGTATCAATACTGATATTGAACCTTTTGAATGACACAGAGCCCTGGAGGTCAGTGACCTTCTCCAACACAAACCTGTAGAGAACAGGTGACGCAGTGATGCTGTTTTATGCTGAAAGCTCAGACTGATCAATAAACCGGTGCAGACACATTCTGATCCATTATTTTCCCTCCAGCTGTTTTCCTGTGTGACTTTTTGACCTCTCCCTCACAGACGACCACAAGTTCAACGAGGCCACAGCGGTGCTGTTCACCTGGATCGACCGCGGCGAGGTCAACCGCCGCACCGCCAACCACTTCTACTCCATGATCCAGTCGGCCAACAGCCACGTCCGGCGGCTGATGAGCGAGAAGGCGCAGCACGACGAGGAGATGGAGCGCGCCAAAGAGGCGTTCAAGAACGCCCTGCTGGCCATACTAACTCAGTGTAAGGAGCGTTCATTATTTCAAACATGTCCAGACGTTTCCATGGAGACGGAAATCCTCTGTGTAAAACTGTTCAACAGGTGAGTTCAGTTTGTTCCATGTTTCATGGTGATTCATCATGTGGAGGAGAGACGTTCAACAGCTGGATGATAAACATCTGTGTGGAGTAAACAACAGACAGAGGAACGAATGAAACTATATTAGAACTTAAAATATATAATATAGATATAATAGATTAATAGTCTGTAAAATAAAAAATAAAAACATCAGTTCAGCTGATCTGATTGGATGGTTCAAACATCTCAAATGGACCCGCCTCTTACGTCGAGCCGTGACGCGTAGCCTGGAAATGTTTAGGGCTGATGGGAAATGGAGGCCAATAAAAACATAAATGCTGAATAAACAAAAATATTTATAGAAAATCAACGACCACACTCATTTATCGTTTGTCCTCAGTTTGATCTTGTTAATCACTTTGTAACTGTGTTTTGAAAGGTAAAACTTATTATTATTATCATTATTATCATTATTATTGTTGTTGTTATTATTGTTGTTATTATCCAAACACAGGAAGTCAGGCTGGGCTTTAGTTTCCATAGAAAACAAGCACTTGATGGTCGTTAAAGTTCCTATCACTGGTTAATCACAGTGATGGATCTTAATACCAGAAAAAAAAACAATGGAAGAAGTTTTTAAACACTTTCAATGTTTTTAAAAATCATTTGATTTTAAAACATTTAAAAATATTATTTATAGTTTTGTTTTTTATGTATAAAAAATTACATCTTTTCACCAAAATCGCTCTGTTGGGAACCACCGCTCTGTACAGTTTATTGTAAGATTAGACTGCGTTCGTTACATGGACCTAATAAACTGGGAAACTGAGTGGATATTGTATAATATTAAAATTTAGTTACAGTCATCCCTAAACCAACAGGGAGCACAGTGCATGATACTGAGAGGTCAAAGGTCATGATTCCAGGTAATACATGACGACATGAGCTGCAGGCGGGTGTTTACCATTGCTTCAGGGGGCCGGGTCAATGGTATGGGCGGACATATTTGTTATATGTTTATATTTCTTTTATATTTTACACCTGACATAAATAAAGACAAAAAAACAAAATATAAAAAAAAGGATTTGTGGACATGGGACCTGTTGACAGATGACCCCCCCCCCCCCCCCCTCGCTGCAGGGTGTGGTGCAGTCACAGACCATGAAGCCTTTTTAAAGCCTGCCTCCATGCTAGTCATTTATTCTGAGAGGATCTCAGCCCAGTCTCCATGACAACACTCCCCCATCCGTCTCACCATCAGCTCCATTATCTTCAGCCCGCTGCGAGGCGGCGATCAGGTCGGTGGCTCGGAGGTGATGGAGTCAGTGGTGTGACGGCGCTCTGACCTTTACTCTGAAAACCTCAGGTGGTCCTCCCAGAGCTACGTGTCACTGCGAGGCGACCCCTAGTGGACAGAGTGATAATGACGGGGGCAAATCAGGAAGTCAGGTGACGTAGTGGATCTTTACTGTGTCTCTGCCAAGAACAGGAATGATGAGAACAAGCCGAGGCCTGTTATTTATATGTGAGCAGGTAACATGGTTATTCTGATTCTGATGATAATAACTCTATTCATGTGGTGCATTTCAAAACACAGTTACAAAGAAAAAACAGGTTTTAAAAAAGACCATCGGCTGAGACGAAACCATGAATAAAGAGAGTTTGAAGAAGAGATTTCAAATTTCGTAAAAACTCGTACACGTTTTTCAGAATATTCCAGAGTAAATGGAAACACTTCCTGTCTTTAAGTCACATGACATCCAAAAACATTGCAGACTATTGTCTCTATAAATCCCTGATACATGGATCGCTGTCAGATATCAGAGGTTTGTCATTACGTTCACCAGACGCCTGCGTCACCTTCCACATCACCGTCTGCGTGCACGCTCAACACTCCACAGTAAACAATGAATAATATATAGATAATAAGTAATTAATAATAATAAGGAGAAAATAATGGAAATAAAATAGAGCGAGAATCCTGTAGTTTGGTGTTTGAACCCTGTGTGTCCTGACGCTGCCTCCGTCCATCATCTGGTTTTCTGAGACCAGGATCTGTCGGCAGCTGGATCCAGAACCAGCGAAAGGAGAGTGGAAGTGTCTTTATGTGACTGAGGCAGCTCACTCAGAACAAACAGGATGTTCAACATCAGCTCGCTCTGCATGAGAACACGAGAACACGAGAACATGAGAACATGAGAACACGAGAACTCGAGAACACGAGAACACGAGAACTCGAGAACACGAGAACACGAGAACATGAGAACACGAGAACACGAGAACACGAGAACACGAGAACTCGAGAACACGAGAACACGAGAACACGAGAACATGAGTCTGCTGCTGGGAGGTGAGTACAGGTCTGGTCCAGTCTCAGGTCTCCGTCTGGTTCTTGTTCTGTCGGTCTGCTTCACAGAAAGTCTCGAGCTCAGACGTGACACTTGAGTTTGTTTTGTGTTTGTAAAATGAAAATGTCGGAGCTGGAAACGTTTGAGTGACGACGGATGAAATGTCGGAGCGAGACTTTGAACGGCAGCGTGAGAACAGAATGAATGGACGGATCCGGTCGGGTCCAGTCAGATTCTGGTCCAGTCTGTTCCACACAAGTGAATTAGTCCTGGGTCTAAAACCTCCGTCCATTCTGGACTCACGCTGCCTCAGTCAGTCCTGGGGGAGTGAAGCTGCAGGTGTGATGTAAGTACAGAGCGCCGGACAGGAGAGAGACCAGCTGATCACATGACCCGGTCCAGACGGCAGCAGCTACCAGCTCCTTCTGCTCTAGTTCTACCTGCTGTTTCCTGTACGTGTGGTTCTGCTGTGGTTCTACAGGTCTGTGGTTCTGCTGTGGTTCTACAGGTCTGCTGCAGAGATCAAGGGAAACGAGGACTCACTTAGAACTGAAGTGAATGTGAACACAGACAGCTGCCATGACCGGTGTGTGTGTGGGCGTGTTTCCATGTGTGTGGATGTGTCTCCGTGTGTGTGGGCGTGTTTTCGTGTGTGTGGGCGTGTTTCCGTGTGTGTGGGCGTGTTTCCGTGTGTGGATGTGTCTCCGTGTGTGTGGGCGTGTTTTCGTGTGTGTGGGAGTGTTTTCGTGTGTGTGGGCGTGTTTCCATGTGTGGATGTGTCTCCGTGTGTGTGGGTGTGTTTTCGTGTGTGTGTGGGTGTGTTTTCGTGTGTGTGTGGGCGTGTTTTCGTGTGTGTGTGGGCGTGTTTTCGTTTGTGTGTGTGGGCGTGTTTTCGTGTGTGTGGGCGTGTTTTCGTGTGTGTGGGCGTGTTTTCGTGTGTGTGGGCGTGGATCTCTTTCTGATGACAAAGTGTCAGAGTCACACTGAAGAAAAAAATCTGGAATTTCAGGAATAATCGTCATAATATGAGAATAAAACATTTCACTGGCGATTATGTTTTTTCTCTCTTAATGTTACATTTTTAATTCTTGTAATATTACAACTTTCTCAAGATATTATAATAAGAGTTTCTTCTTGAACTTTCTCACTGAGGCCGATGCTGCGTCAGACTCTGTGTGTGATGGTGACAGAGTCGAGACGTAGACGCTGCAGCTGCTCTGCAGGTTTTAGTTTGGACTCGGTCCGTCACGTTGGACCGTGTTGGGTCCAGTACTACATGAAACCAGATGTTGGTGTTAATTGTGATCCCTGACACAGTGTTGTATGTGCTGTGATGTTTCTATCACCGTGTGGAGAGCCCAGCGTCGCTCCACAAAGTCTCCATGACGACAGTGCTGTTGTCACATCGTAACACTCGGCTTCTGGTTCCAGTAAATACAGTCGAGTGAAGAGTCACTAAAGCTGTGTCCCAGTTCAGGGACTTCATCCCTCAGAGGACGTGGTCCTTCGCAGACCGTGAAGGCCGAACCAGAACGAGACGGTCTGTTCTTTACGTCACCAGCTGTTCCTGCCCTTTTTGTTTCAAGTCTCTGGGTTTTAACAGTTGTACCGTTAGCTGGTGAACTGAGCTTAAACACAACACTCACATTTAAACATATGATCCTCAGACTGTCACTGTTGTTTTCATCACTGCAATGAATCCTGGGATATGTCGGACCAGGAGAAGAAGGACGACTTTCTCTTTTAGGAGCCTTTGAGTTGGACAGTGTAGTAGCACCGCCGAGACGCAGTCAGACTGGGACACAGCTCATATGTCCGCTAAGAAGATGCCTCATTATTGTTCACACTGAACCGAACGAAGTCGACATAAAGAGCGTGATGTCAGAGAGCGCCAGTCAGAGAGGTGACCTGTAACACAACAGCATCGGTGTCTGTTCTCCCTTTCACACAGACATTGGTCCGGCTCTGTGACGACCTCTGCTTCACCTGCCTTGAACAGGCTGTAAACAGGTGAGCTGAGAGAGAGAGAGGTTGTTGTCAGTCCTGGTTTCCCCGAGTCTCTGCAGCTGATCCACACTGATGGAAAATCAGCAGTTTCCCTTTAATGCTCTTTAAACCACTTTAGTTTTCTCTCATGTTAGACAGACTCTATTTGTTATTCACATTGTTTCTCTTCTTGTTGATCAGAGGCTCTTCTCCTCTTTAACCCTGTTTGTCACTTTGCATCCAAATCACATAAAGTTTTATTTTGAATTCATGATGATAACGTCTGCTTTATTCATTCTACAGATAAAAGTTTTACTGCCTTCACTCCTCATCCAGTCACTGTGTCATCAGCTGCTCAGTCCGTCACTCTCTGGCCCAGTTCTAGTCAGTGACACTGTGGTTCTCAGAACAGGAAGTGGAAGCAGCACAGTGTTTAATCACAGATGATCTGTGTCGCTGCTCCAGTGACACGAGGGTCATCACATCGGCAGTAAATACAGATCATTCATCAGAGCTGCAGCTGTAGCTCTGGGACTGAGTAAGATCTCAGTGTGTCCAAACGACCGAGCATCAGGGGAAATAAAGAAATTTGAGAATAAAGTCGTAATATTCAAGAAAAAAGTTGTAGTATTATGAGAATAAAAAATGTAAAATATCCAGAGAAAAAAAATCAAAATATTATGTCTTTATTCTTGTAATTAGGTCTGGGAGATTAATCTAATTTCATTTTCGATTACGATTTCAGTTTCCAATGATAATGAAAACAAGATAAAAACGATTATCATGCTGTATCGTGCCCCCCCTACGAAAACCATCCCCCCATCCACTTCCTGGTTACGTCTCAGCGTACGTGAGTGACGTACGTAGGAGTGCGTCATCCAGAGTCGGACCAGACCTTAATCTCCTTGGACTGAGTTACTGAGCGGAACATGTTGAATATATGTTCAGTAGTTTTCAGTAGGTTGTGGAAGTAATGTTACAACATTGGTCTTAATTTTTTTTTTTTTTCTAATTTATTTTTATTAAATATTATATTATATATTTAATATCTTTAGATATTATGTATTTTTTTATTTATTTTTTCTCATTTTTTAAATGTATTTTCTTATTAGTTTTTCCGTTAAATTGTATTTCAAGTTGAAGAAAGTACACTGTTAAAAAGACAGTTTTTTAAAGTAAATAAATACTGGTGTTTCCAAAGTTAATGGATAAATGTGACTAAAAATTTATCAAAATAATTGTGATTATTATTTCTGGCATAATTGAGCAGCTCCACCTGAAACATTACGACTTTATTCTTGAAATTTCTTTTCTTTTCTTTTAAATGTGGCCTGATGCTCCGTCATACAGACGCTCATGGAGCCTGAACCTTCATGGAGTCTTACCTGAGCACATGATGACACCTTTTCATCTTTGAGTGAACTGCTCCTTTAAGCCCCCCCCCCACACACACACACACACACACACCTGTGGTCAGTGTGTCCGTGGTCTCTCCTCTGTCTGCTGCTCCAGCCTAAGTCAGTCACTACAATGCTACATAAATGGCTTGTTTTGTCTTGACCCTCCTCCTCCTCCCCTCCTCCTCCTCCCCTCCTCCTCCTCTCCTCTTCCTCCTCCCCCCTCCCTCTTCACCCCAAAGTCGAGCAGATCACGGCCGTTTTCACCGCCGCCACCAGGCAAAAGGCATGGGACCATTTCTCAAAAGCACAGCGCAAGAACATAGACATTTGGCGCAAGCAGTGTGAGGTTGGTGAACCTTCTTCTGTCCCCCCCCACCCTCACCCCCACCCGCCACCCAGAGACACTGCTCTCTTCTTCTCTGCTGCCAGTCCCTACGAGAGAGAATGACAGACAGCCCTGTACGAGCTGTTGTAGTCAGTGGCCTTGTTGTTTTCCTGGATGCCACACACACACACACACACACACACACACACACACACACACACACACACACACACACACAAACAAACACACACACACACACACACACCGGCCTCTGATCACCACTCTTCCCTGCAGTCCAGACGCACAGATCTGATGCCTCCTCCAAAGTGTGAGGCGCTGCTATGGCAACAGTGATTGTCAGGGTTAAGTTTCTGATCAATTATTAATATCCAGAGTCAAATCTAGAAAACAAGTGTGAACATGAGAAGGGACGTGTACGAGGGAGGGAGGGAGGGAGGGAGGGTTTGTCCGATGTCAGCTGAGTCGACAGTCGAGGCCACACAGCAGCAACATGGTGGATTCAACATGGAGCTGTTCATGTGTGTGTGTTGGGGGGGGGGATCAAACAAAGAAATAAAGTGAAGCACAGTTCATGTTGTTATACAGTGTGCATGCCACAGTCCTGGTGTGAAAGCCCCTCCCCTAACGGCTAGTATCCGTGGTAAGTCTACATGTACTCATGTCTCTATGGCAACAGCCCTGGGTTGTGCTGCTGAGTGTGTGTGTGAAGACACGCTGCGGAGACGGGGCATTATTCTGTCAGGCGTGTGCTGTGAAATCACAGCTGACAAATGAAGAGATAATGAATATGGCAGCCATAACGAGATCTGATTATCCCGGGAGGCGCTGCAGCAGGCGGAGGCTCCGGTCCCACTGTTCACGTCTCCTCACACACGTTTCATGGAGGACGCAACAGGAAACATGATTTCATTCAACTTCAGCTAAAATAAAATTATTGATGATTTACAGCTGAAACAATAAATTGATTGGTCCAAATTAATCAGCAGCTAATATAAAGCTCCTCCAGTGTAAAGGTCTGTGTCCATGTGTAGTGTGATTATAGATCAGCTCTAGCTTCTATATTAATACTGTGAAAGTATCAAAGCCTCAGTCCACAGAGAAATGCACACAGCCTGTATTCAGAAACTGAGCCTTAAAACCAGCCGTCAGGACTTCTGGAACTTTGTGATGTCACAACAAAGCAGTCACCAAGCCCCGCCCACCTGGACCCACCATCCAAACCTTGCAGGATTTGGTTTCTCTGAGTGTTTTTACCTGAAATCTGATTTATTTTTATTGGATCGCTCAGAAAACAATCAGCCAATCAGAAGAGAGGCTCAGAGCAGAACATTTTGCACCTTGTTTATGACCCCCCCACTTAACACCCCACTGCCCCATAGTAAATATGGCACCATCCTCATGCTTGATGAGCTGTGTGTGTGTGTGTATGTGTATGTGTTGCTGAGGATGCTGTCACTGTGTGTGTGTGTGTTGTGGTGTTTCAGGAGCTGAGAAACGCTCACAGTGAGGAGATCATGGGCATCAGACGAGAGGAGGAGATGGAAATGTCAGACGACGACCTGGATGAAAATCCCTGCAAGAGGATCCGCACTGAGGAGAACGGTACGATGAAGAACACAGCTAACAACACAGCTAACAACATATCTAATAACATATCTAACAACACAGCTAACACTACAGCTAACGACATATCTAAATACACAGCTAATAACACAGCTAACAACACAGCTAACAACACAGCTAACACTACAGCTAACGACATATCTAACAACATATCTAATGACACAGCTAACAACACAGCTAACAACACATCTAACAACACAGCTAACAACATATCTAATAACACAGCTAACAACACAGCTAACAACACAACTAACACTACAGCTAACAACATATCTAACAACACAGCTAACAACACAGCTAGCGACACAGCTAACGACACAGGGAAGAACTCTTTTGGTGGTGATCCAGTTCAAGATGCAGATACAAGAGTTTTAATCATCCTCCCTTCTCCTCTGCTCCTCCTCCTCCGCCCTCCTGCAGGAGTGTGTGATCAGACCCAGGCATCTCTGAGGGAGGAAAACGACTCCCTGCGTTGGCAGCTGGACTCCTACAGGAACGAGGTGGAGCTTCTGAGGAAGGAGCAGAGCAGAGCTGGCCGCCCCGACGACGACCACGCACACACACAGACACACAAACACACACACAGTCCAGAGGCTCAGATCCAGCTGCTGCAGCAGAGCATGCTCACCATGCAGCAGGTAGGAGTCTCCTCTTCTTCTTCTGCTGCTACTCATCATGTTGTCGATGCTGCAACCTGCAGGAGCTGTTTGCATTAACTGTCAAGGCTTCATTTACTTCCACTGTTGCAGGAAAGAAAGAAGTGACAGTGACAGTTCAGCTGATTAGACGTCAGGTTGTATCTATAGTCAATGTTAATATTCAGCACTTTATGGTCCGTCAAACAGCACTTAACTTTGGAACTATATTTTCACAACTGTTGAACCACCGTATTCCTACGCGCAAGTTCACACTTAAACTGATATTGTTTTGAACCTCAGAGTGAGCTGCTGTACTGTCGCCATCTTGGCAGTGTCTGACTCTGCCCCTAACTCCCAGCTAATCCAAATATGGGCAGAGAGGAGGGGCTGTGTCGAGCTGAGATTCCGTTTCATGTCGGTTGGGAAGGCGCTGGCAGGGATACGCTTCTGTTAGCATCATTAGCACAGCTGGTCATCTTGCTAATTCAGGCTAAGCTAACAAGCCAGGAATGGTGAGCACAGACACTGATACCTGCTAATTAGCGCTATCATATAAATAAAATAATAATAGAATTCACTCACCTTTAAAAGCAGGAGCTCAGACTTCCTGATGTTCTGTTAAGTGATTACATCACTCAAAGAGGCCACGCTCTCAATTCTCCATAACTTTAGACTTTAATAAAATATAAACAGGTGAGTTATATAAACAGGTGTCATGAAAGGGGAAATCAGCTCTAGAGACCAAAACTGTTTTTGTACCAGGCTGTAAACATGTTTATTTCTGCTGTAAAGTTGGACATTTTAACATGGGAGTCTATGGGGACTGACTCACTGTTGGAGCCAGACTCTAGTGGTCGTTAGAGGAACTGCAGCTTCTGGTTCTTCACTGTTGATGCCTCATTTTTGGTGGTGAGGCCTTCTGTTCCTCAGCCATCATAACGAGATACTAATTTTTTGAAATCACTAATATCCATCATACGGATCTACATTCTCCTCCTGATATAATTTCATCCTAACGTTGAAATAAAGAGTAAACATTTATTTCAGTGACAATAGTTTCATTTGTCACAGTCAGAACGGAGGGAACAAACAGCAGCAGGTGACAAACGAGAAGCGACAGCAGCGTGGCGTTCCCTCACACTGTGAGAAGTCAAGTCAGCAACACATCTACAACCAGCCAGCAGGGCACGCCGTGTGTGTGTGTGTGTGTGTGTGTGTGTGTGTTGTCTCTAATGTGCCTTGTTTTATCAGCGCTGTCACTTCAGATAGAGAGAGACAGGAAGTCGAGTCAAATCAGGCTAACTCGTGGCAAACGAGTGCCATGCTCGAACAAAGCTCTACGCTGCTTTATGAAATCAGTGAAGCAAGGGATTATGGGAGGTCTCTGAGTCAGCAGTGACACACACTGTTGTTGTTTTAGTGTTTGATTGATTGGGGGGAAGTAAAGTAAACTGAGCTCCCTGCTCCTCTCTGATAAAACTCCCTCTGAAACATTCACACACACACACACACACACACACACACACACACACACACACACACACTTGCATGTTATCACATTATTATACAAACTGTCATGAACCGAAGTCTCAGCTCCACATTAGCTGGGAGGTAGGGGTGGAGTCACTGCCAAGATGGCGACGGTTGAGCAGCTCACTCTGAGCTTCAGAAACCTGTGGGTGACGTCACAGGTGCGACGTCCATCTTTATTTACAGGCCGTGATCCAGACTAAAACACATCCTCAGAGTTTTCAAACTCCGTACCTCAATCACCACGAACAACTAACATCTACGAGTACCTGTGTGTGTGTGTGTGTGTGTGTGTGTGTGTGTGTGTGTGTGTGTGTGTGTGTGTGTGTGTGTCTGTCTGTCTGTCTTACAGCAACTCCTGAGCCTGCAGGAGAAGCTGTCGAATAAGGAAGCAGAGTTGGAGCAGGCCAGAGAGGAGCATCACTACCTTGAGGGGGAGGTGCTCACCCTCCGAGACAAGGTGTGTCACGTTCAAATGGTTCCCCAGATAATCCAGGAAGTTACTTTTAAGAGGAAATAAAGACCCCAGGAGGAATCTGGAAGATCCTCTTGACACTGATAATTCTGCTCGTGCCTTCAACGTTTGCACCTACAAGAAAAACTACAATCAAAGCATCAAGATAATTTCACAGTGACCTGTTTGGTGGTAAATTAGGTTTCACAACTCGAGTCATCGACCATCCATCAGTGTTCCACCACTCACCCGGGGCCAGGTCTCTGAACAAAGCAGTGCAGACGCTGGTATAAAGCAGGACTGGTTTTGGTCTGAAGGAAGTCGACTCGGTTTCCTCTCAGAGAAACGTCTTGAAGTGTTTACTCCTCCTTGTATCGGGTTGAATCCACACAGTTTTTATTTTTGCTCTTTGAATTGTGGAAAATGAGGCCAATCTTCTCCCAATCTGGGTCTATTGATTCTCTCAGTGCAGCTCTCAGCTCAGCTGCTCCTCACAGGAGAAAACACAAGCAGGGGTTGAATAAAATATTAAGCTTGATTTTTATTTCGGTCTGACATAATGCATCCATCAATACACATGTCTCCTGTAGGTAGGTGGGGGGGGGGGGGGCTCTGAGGGGTGAGGTGAAGAGAGAAGGAGGTGGAGGAACATGTTTTATTTGGCAGCTCAGGTTCACATGGTGCATACTGACGAACACACAGGTAAACAGGTGTAACCCTGTGTGTTGACGGGTTTTAAACTGAACGAACCAAAACAGCAACAGGAAGATGTTGAGTGTCTCATGAAGGAAACCGGGGCCAGCTGCACAAAACACCTTAAGTTAAGATTTTCCTTTAAGTCTGAGTTAAGACTTCCTTAAAATAAAAACAGCTGGACAAAACACCCTTAAGTTTTCTCCTTAAGGTTTCCTTAAAATTATATTTAAGAAATCACTTAAAGTCTGTTAAACCCACAAAAGCCCTTAGAGACTCTTAGCAAACATACCGTCTCCGTGGAAACAGTAGAATTTTACCGCTGTAAAATCTCATTTACTCCTGTAAATTACTTCACTCTTTCCTTAACAAAGGAAACCTTAAAGAGATTCTGTGCATCACCCTTAAGTACCTCCCTCAGCTGAGGAGAAATTAAACCCGATGCTCTGTGTGAGGATCTGTAGCAGCTGTCATGAGTTTCAAGTTTGACGGATTCAGGCCGGAGGAGGAGACGTGGATTTGGCGACATTTAGCAAAATGAATTAAACACCCAGATTGTCTTCACCCGGTTGTCATCAACATCAACGCGTCCTCTCGCCTTCATCGTCACGGTAACAGTCATCGATAGAGGAAACCACGTTGACTACGGGTTGTCACGCAGGAAACCATCAGCGGTCTCCTGTGTGAACGCTTACTGGCTCATCCATCAACCACAACTTCCTCTAATGCGTCACGTGACTTCCTCCTCTGCTCCCGTCATAATCACTACGGCCACTAGAGGTCACCTGACGACATGAGCTAACTGGGCTCGTGTTTTACAGAAGGACTGCGACGGAGGATTAGGGCCACGTTGAAGAAAAAAAAATCTGAAATTACAAGTAAAAAATATTAGGACTTTATTTTTTTAAATTTCAGACTTCTTTTTTTTCTTTTTTTGTGGCCCTAATACTCTGTAGTATTCTCCTCCTCCCACCACTTCAGCCTGAGACCTACTGGTGTCTTACTGGACTCACTGGGAGCTGTGGTGTGGAGCTCTGGGCTGCTTTTATTTCTTAGGAGTTTAACTTTTCAGTCTCACCTTTGGTTTTTTTTTTAGCTTTCATATTCATGTAAAGTGAATCAGCCACAGTCGCCATGACGACGTTAAGCAGATCCTCCACGGAGGTGAAGCGCAGCAGGACCCAGCTGAACATGTGCCCCCTCCCTCTGTGGTCCCAGTTCATCTTCAGCTCTCACACCTCCACACAATCAAACATGTTGTTCTTTGTTGTCTTGAATCATTTATCAGATCAGAGATTCTCCAGTCAACAGTGAGTTATGTCTCTCTCTCTCTCTCTCTCTCTGTAGCTGCTGAACAGTGCTGGGGAGGCTGTGGAGGGAACCAACGGAGAGCTTCATGACAAGGTAACGACTGAGACGATTAATGGATCAACAGAAAATGAATCAGCCATGATGACGAACGTTCTCTGGTTCCAGGTTCGTTCTAAATGACATGAGGTGAATGTTTGAGTTCTGGACTGAGGGTCGAATAAAAACAAGTGATCTGAAAACAGATTACACGTTTCATAAAAGAGTCCTGATGCCGGTCCGTCAGCGCGCTTTCTAACGGCCTCTACCAACACGTCAACGTTTCACCGAGACCAGGATCTGACGGGACCATAGACCCTGTGGTTAAGCAGATGTTGCACAGCTGGAGGATGTTGTAGGAAAACAAATGATGTGGATTTGTTCAGTGACATGACAGATCTGTTCATTCACATCATCTGGACACAGGAAGCTTTTCAACAGACACATCATATATATATATATGAGCGTTATTTATACATCATGAAAAGCACATTTAGAGACTCGCTTCTCTCCATGTGGATGACGTCATGGTGTTTACTGCACTGTGTCTGTAATATATCCAAGTATTTTCTAACAGTAAAAGCTGAAACAGTGAGAGTGAAGTCGAGCAGAGCGTCGGAGGTGATGAACATCAGAGCTCAGAACAGAGGCTTCATACGAGTCTGTTCTGCGTCTCTCACAGCACTTTACTGACTTTCAGAGAGCCTCAGGGAGTCACACACACACACACACACACACACACACACACACACACATCATGGGAGATGAACTCTTAGCCTCAAACCTGCTGAACTGGACAGAGATTGAGGTCAGAAAGAGACGAGGACATAAAACATGAAACCCCTTGAAACTGTTCTGAGAGCAGCGCCATGATGCTCTTTATTAAATCATGAAAGTGTGTGTGTGTGTGTGTGTGTGTGTGTTTAATTAACTGCTTGTTTGTCCTTGAGTGAACATCATGTACTGTACGTTTCTGTGAATCAGTGGTGGGAGAAATAATCAGATACTTTCCTTCAGTTAAAGTACAAAATCCTGCACTTAAAATACTACTTCAATATATTAATACTACATAATACTACTTACAGATAGTACTATCAGCTTCCTGTAGTCAGTAGTAGATCCTGAGTCATGTTACTGTTGTAGCTGCTTTAACTACATCATATATACTCAGATAGGTCAGTCCACTGGTTCCCAACATATGGGTCAGGCCCCTCCAGAGGGTCACCAGGTAGATGTGAGGGGTTGTCACATGATTCATGGGAGAGAAGAAGAAACAGAGTTCTGGATTCAGTTCCTGGACTTTTCTCGTTAGAGTGTCACTGAGTGTCCTGACAAATTAACTGTGTGTGTGTGTGTGTGTGTGTGTGTGTTCACAGGGGATGAACGGGTGTGTTCCTTCACTGTACCACAGCAGAGACAGGAGGAGTGAGGTCATCCTGAGAGGAGGCGTGGCTTCAGAGAAGGAGGCTCTGCTTCTGGGTAAATATGAATAAAATGATTGTTTGTCTTAATGAAGGAGCCGCAGGGAGATGGCAATGGATTGATGGCAAGTTCACGCACAATTTTCCCATATAAACGATCCAGGTGTCAAATCAACATTTTAACAACATAGAAGGTGAAACCTAGTACACTGTAAAAAATCAGCAAACTCACAAAAGTTTAATATAATATATATCATCACGACATTTAAAAATAAAGAATCTTTTAATCAAAAATTCTGGTTCATTTTGCAGAATATTTTTCTTTTTAAATGGAAACACCGTAAAACGGTTCGTTTGTGAAATTGTGAAACATCCTTAGAGTCAAAAACTAAATTTCAATCATTGAAATCTCTTCCCGGGACTTTGAAAAGTTTGACCCCAAAGGAGAACAGTGACATGTAAATAAAAATATATATGTAAATTTAAATATAGTCCACTGTCGACCAGGTTAAGACTTTGAAGGTGAAATGTCAAGTAGTGTTTTCATTTCCATCTTCAATGACCTGAATATTGTTTGCCTATTCGTAAAATTAGGTTAAATTGTTTATATTGCATTTTAATTTTCAAATGTGAATTAACATTAACAAAATCAAATGTCAAACAGCTTTTCCATTTTCATTTCAATATTGTCCAAGAATCCCTGTACAAGTATGTGCATTTTCATTTACACACACACACACACACACACACACACACACACACACACACACACACACACGTGGAAAATTGAAATGCTTTTGTGGCATTACATTATCATTTGAATACAGTCCCCTACAGGCTTCCATACATGGGTAAAATTCTGTGCTGGAAACTATGTTGAAATCTTGAGCAGCTAATTGGATTTTTCGAATGAATGGGGGAAAACATATCAACATTGGTGCTTGTATCCACATTTAAAAGATTATTACAGTGATCTGCTGCACTGTCAGTGACTGAGCTCAGCACCAACGAAGAAGAAAAGAATATCAGTTCAACACTGAGCATCAGTTTCTCATTAAAGCTGATTATTCTATCCAAGGAAAAAGTTACACTCCACACTCCCGTAGACCAGTTTGCCCCGGCTCTCTCTGGCTCTGCTGAGAATTTAATTTGTGTGAACTGAGGTGAGTGTGTGAACACACTGATTCCAGCCTCAGCTCCTCCAGCTCTTCGCTCCAGATGGATGCTGGGATCATGAAATCTGTGACTGGAACTGGAGGCGGGTCGCTCGCCAGGCATCTGTGACAGTGTTTGTAAATGAAGAGCAGAAGACACTTGACACTGAACTCATCTCAGCTCTGCCGTCATGTTCACACACCTTCAGCCAGAGCCAGTGAAGCAGACAGACACAGACTGTCTGCACCCTGCTGTCTGTCTGTCTGTCAGCGTCCACGCAGCAGCTGGACTGAATTCATCTCAGCTGCTTTTGTTTCTCTGCGTCGTATAAATCCTCGTGTTTCGCGGGATGTGCGGCGGCATTGAGGAAAGCGTGGAGTGATGTGTTTTTGTGCTGAAGCTGCTGCTTTGTCCGGAGCAGAGGAGAGCGAGAGGAACAGCAGCACATTTATCTCTCTTAGTGGAGCCTAGAAAATCCAGATATGAAGGAGAGAGGAGGCGCTCTGTCTTCCTCCTGCTGCTGCCTGGAGTCTGCACCGAGCAGAGACATGTGGCCTGTTTTCACACACAATCAAATGAGGTTATAGTCCACATACAGTGTGCAGGGGGGGGGGGGGGGGGGGGGGGGGGGGGGCTACAGGCTGCCCTGCCTCACTGCTGAAGGTTGTTACGCAGCCTGACGGTGATACCTGCAGACATTACTCAGGGCTGGAAAAGGTACAGCCGGTGTCCTGATGATTTCATCTGTATTTTTACTTTATAATAAACATTGTTCTTAAATAAATTGTCATTAAATAGATTTTAATATCTTCAGTCACATTTTAATTTTAAGACTTTTAAAGGGATTTTTACTTGTAACAGATTATTGTGTTTTTCTCTTGTTGAAAACATGTTTCTCTTGGATACGGTCGCTTTTCTCACTGCAGGTTGGAAATTAAACTTTTTGAAGTGGAGTGCGCACACACACACACACACACACACACACACACACACACACACACACACACACACACACACACACACACACACCCTACAGTTCTCTGGTGGCACTCTTCCATGTCGACAGGCCTGGTGGAGGGAATTGAATTAAGCCTGTCTGTAATTGCCAACGTTTCGCCACATAAATCAAGGAAATAAATATTGGCTGTGCCGGGTCCTCCAGGGGACGCCTCTCTCCCCATCCCAACCTCCCTCCCCCCTCCCCCACACACACCCACACACACACACACCCCCACCCCCTCTGCATGACTGCCTACCTTTGCAGGACCTCTCAGAAGTAATCAACTCAAGAGCGTTTTGTGCTGCAGGCAGCAGTTTTTACGGGGCCATCCCGTTTGTTTATTGTGCAGCAGCTTCAGAAACACATAAGAAAATACAACTCAAACATTTAGAGCTCCCCCCGGAGGCCTGGAGCTCTGCCGTCGTGTTGTCAGGATGTGCAGCGTTTTTGTCTGTTGCATTTGTTTCGGAGGTTCATGTGTTTTGGTTTCTGCATTTACAGTGTGTTTGTTGTTCGTGTTTTTATATTGTTTTCCAGCAGCACGTTTCGTTCTTGTATTTTCGGATGTGTTTCTCAATCTGCAGCTCGTTTCTCCTGATGAAGAGTTTAGGGCTGTTGCAGCGTGTTCGCCCTCGTCGGCCGCCGTATGAATCCACCCCCTGACAGCGAGACATGTTGGGTCTCCCTTCAGTCTCACTCCTCCTGTCACGCCATCAGTTCGTCTGATGACCTTTCCTCTTCTCTGCAGGCATCATATCGACCTTCCTCCACGTTCATCCGTTTGGCGCCAACCTGGAGTACCTGTGGTCGTACATCCAGAGACTGGACTCCAAGGTGACGCAGCTCACACACCTCCCTGCCTGTGTTTCGTCTTCCTGGTGCTTTGTCCATCTTACAACAGACACATCAGCCTCACGTATATAACGGCAGATTGGTCACCACACTAATAATAATACCAGCGGTATTAACACCTCCCACTGTTTCAAACTAAGGAGGAAATGAAAGAGAATTCAGTGAGGAAGCAGCATCATAGTGATGACTGAAAACCATCTCTTCCTTTAAGGCCTTTGCACACCAAGTCCAAATTTTTCATCTGCATTTTTTAAAATCTGTCATCCAGTAAAAACCTTGCACATGGACTCTGATGCGTTTTATTATTTTATAATTGCAAAGAATTCGCAGACAAAATGGTCGTCAGGCAGTGAGGAGGATTTCATGGTCCTCTCACAAAAAAGAGAAAATACTGGTCCATTAGATCCTGAGAAGATCAAAGGCCTTTACTCTTAATCAACACCAAAACCACCTTGGAGGAAGTCAGAGCAACTTGTATTTATTTATTGGTGAATACATTGACCTCTGTAAGATTCTCTAGTCTTAACCTTCAAGTCCCAAGTTACTGTGGTGAGATCAGGTCAAAGTCAATCCGTCCGAGTCACCTGTCTCAGGTCCAAGTCTTCAAACGTGTAACTGAAGTCTGACTTGGTTTAAGTCATGTGACTCGAGTCCTTCACCTCTACCTGTCAGTAAACACATGAGACAAAGTTTTGAATGTTTGGCTCCACCCAGTCAAAAGTCTAAAGGTGTCTGTGTGCTGCTCCACGCTCGTCTCTTCTTCTGCGTCACGCTCTGGTTTCTGCTCTCGTCCTCTCTCAGGTGTCGGCGGGGGAGTTGGAGCGCCTCATGGTCCGTCTGCCCACCATGTTCAGGCAGGAGCTGAGCGGCGTCGGTGCAACTCTGGAGAAACGCTGGAAGTTCTGCGGCTTCGACAGCCTCGGCTCGGCGTGACGCAGGGAGGACGCACACACACACCGGGAAAACACACTGACGTGAACTAGGTGCACGCAACGCCCTGGACCTTCAGATCTGTGTGTGTGTGTGTGTGTGTGTGTGCGCGCGCTCTCCGGCCTCATGTCGGACCCGATACACAGCAGCATCGGTGTTCACTCAAGCAGACACTGGAGACGGACGCTCGGACCTCAGAGACCACAGTTCACTTCCTGATGCTGCGTGGAGGGGAAGTGATGAGACGGACCGGCTGGGTTTACCTGATCTTCACACTCGTTCTGTTTCTGGTCTCACTCGCTCATGTTGAGGCGGTTCTCCAAACCGGAGTCTGGGTCCCTGGTTGTCATGTCGTCGGTGTGAATCAACAGAGAGTAAAAGAAGTTAAACCAAAGTGAATCCTTCATGACATTTACACCTTCGCTGATGAACCTCACTTCATTTAAAACGGGAGCTTCCATTTTCCTGCTCGGACCAGGACCGGCGTCCAGCTGTGGCCCGGCTCCTTCGCGGTTTCAGGGTCCCCCGGAAACACCTGAGAAGCAGACACGTTTATAATACAGTTTACAGTTGTCTCAAACACAGCAGCTCATTTACCGCCTGATACTTCTGGATGACAACAACAGAGCGAGAGAGAGAGAGAGAGAGAGAGAGAGAGCGAGCTGCTCCAGGGTCTGAAATCATCCGACCAGCTGGGTGTGAAAACGCTCCAGGCCTGATGTCAACGTGTGCTTGCTGCCCAGCGTCTCGCAGAGGTCACGGACACAACCTGGAGGGGTGAGGGTAGACGAAGGACAATAACTGACAGAGAGGGGGAATATTTGTGTTTTGTAAAGGATGATATGAGGGAGAAGACAACGTTCAATCATCCCTCTGGATTTATTCGGTCGTGCTGTGAGAAGCTGTTCAGTGGAAGCAGCTACACACTGTTTCTAACGTTATTAATGGTCCGGACTGTGTCCTGCTTTTTTAAAATCTACGTCTCAGAGTTGATGTTGCAGATGTTTTTTTCCTTCTGAATGGTGACGATGATGATGATAAGAGGAAGACTGCAGATCAGGACAGATGTGAGCTGTGAGACGCTGACAAGACGAGTGATGAAGACTTGTCCCTCCTTTTCTGTGTTTCTAAAGACCACATGTTGTCTATTTAAAATGAGAAAAAGATAATTAAGTGATTTTATATTGCACTTCCATAAAGTTAGTGGACTGTGTTTTTTCTCTTATATAAATAAAGATGCTGAAAATCAAACGTCACAGTAGTTCCACCTTTACTCTGGAGAATGCAGCTGACAGGATGATGTAAAAGACTCGGGGAGCTGCTTCTGATGTAACACGGGCGTAACACACACATCTGTTGATGGACACTGTGTGTGTGTGTGTGTGTGTGTGTGATATCTAAATGAAAATCTAGGGCAGAGCTTCACTGTGTCAAACACACTCTCTCTAAACCTACAGACTGAAGACATTTTTCAGAGGAATCTGTGACTCACTGACGTTCATACAAAAGAATTCACTCTGTTTCTCTGCAGCCACATGTATGAAAGTCATTCAGCTAAAAAAACTAAAACTACACGACGCACAAAACCAGAAATATACACAAACATTTTTTCATCAGAATTATAAAGTTGTGCGTGCGCATGGTTCAGGTTTATGAATCTCACTCATTGAGAAATTGGGCAAATGTGCACGAGCATCATTTCCACAGAGATTAAACCAAGGAAACTGTCCGCCCTGAAATGTGTTGGGGGGGGGGGGGGGGGGGGGGGGGGGGTCTGCTGTAGATGGATGACAGCAGCGGCGTATATGGCGACCCGTTTCAGAAAGACACCAAATCTTATAGTTTGTAAATGTGAATCTGGACATTCACTTGAAAGAAAGAGAAATGCATCATCTACTCAGTGGAAACCAGAGTCTGGCAACTGTGTCACAGCCGATCCAACACGCCTGTCTTCAAACTGTTCAACACTCGTTCCTCTGTCGGTCTCTAAACAGCGTGAGACATAATAATCCTGCTGTGGTCAAACTATTGATAAATCAGTCCAAAAGACCGAAAACAAAACCAACAGCTGATGGTAGCAGAGCTTTTTCAAAGTAGTGTGGTCATGTGCGTTATTGAGCTGGAACTTGAGCCCAAGTGTCAACAAAGGTTCTTATTAGTACTTTTATTATAAGCCATGATTCCACTCCCACAGTTAGCCAATAGTAGATTTACTGTCTGTGCCACAAGTGATCAGACGGAGAAGGACAAGACAATTTCACTGACTGTGAAACAGGTTAAAACGTGCATCAGTTCATTTTAGTACCATCACTGCAAATGAAAAGTCCTGTCCCAGTTCAGGGTCTCATCCTCCAGAGACTCCGTCTGAAGACTGACTGTCACAGCGGCCCGACTAGACTGTCCCATTTCTAAGGTGCCTTCAAATGCGCCCTTGTTTTCCAGGACAACGAAGAACAGGTGGCTCCTTCATGGTCCAACGTATCCCAAGATTCATTGCGCACCAGTAATAAAAGCAAAGATCAGTGACAGAGAGTCTGAGGATCACACTGTTAAATGTCAGTGTTGTGTTTCAGCTCAGACCAACAGCTAACGGTACACCTGTTCAAACCAAGAGGCTGAAAACTAAAAGTCTTCCTGAAAAAAAAGGAAAGAAGTTACATGTTGTCAAGGTTGCTAGGCGACAGAAGCTGCGCTTTGCGACACAACGGTGATGGCGGGAACAGCCGGGGCCCAACGTCATTTTGGTTTGGCCTTCGTTACGAAGGGCCACACCTTCGTAGACCTCGTCCCCCGAAGGATGTGGCCCCTGAATGGGACACAGGTCGTGTGAGTGAGGGAAACACACACACGTTTTATAACTGAAGTAAACCCCTCCCATTAGAAGGTGATGTCAGTCAATGTTATGAAGTATGTCGTGTGTAAAATGAGAGTTGAATGTGAGCTGCAGAGTTGAACATGAAAATGTTGAAATGCTCAAAATAACACAAGTTGCCTCCGTCTCTTCAGAACAGTGCGATGCTTCTGTACAAACCAGCAGCTGAACCAAAGCAGTGAGCTGGTGAGCGAGGGGAACGAAGCCGCTGCCAGCTGTTGAGAACAAATAGTGACATGAACAGTGAGGGGCCCACAGAGAGAGAGGACAGGCTGCTGTTGACACAGTAAACCTAACAGAGACATAAATACTGCAGCCAGTATTCCTTCCTCCACCGCTGCACAGGCCGCTGTGTGATTATGTGTTCCCTGTTCAGCAGTGGGGTATAAATAGTAAAGCACTGCCCCAAATAGTGAAACTGGTTTTCCCTCCTCCGTCAGGCCCGAGGAGACAGACGAGTGAAGTCTCAGTCTGCTGAGGACGAGCGGCAGCACCGGGCACGTCGCAGTTAGCGCTCGGACGAGACGTCCCTGTCTCTGATTTAATAATAAACACTAATCTGACACGTCCTATTCATTAGAGCTGACAGCAGCCTGCACAACACAACCCTATAAAATGAATATGTTAATGAGCAAATAGAGTTTGGAACTGCTGGTGTTTTAATCAATGTCACAAGGTTAAACTGAAGAAACGGAAATGTTTTGAAACTGATGCGCCATGAAAATGATGAGCGTAATTACACAGACAGTCTCATAAGAAGACAATGTCATTTCAGATGAATAAAATCATTATCATGAATTTAAAAATGTACAATTGAACATAAATATATCAAACGTAAACGTTTTTTTTACCATCAGCTGTTTAGATGTTGATCATGATTGGATATGCAGCCACACAGATGTGAATACAAAATAATGAACCTGTACTGGTGTGGTCTGTGTAGCAGCTTGTTATAACACAGTTTGATTTATCTTTAGGCGACAACTAGTGTCTGTAATCATTATGACAGGAGCAAAGGAAGAGTGACGTGACGTCAGCTGTGTCCCTATTCAGGGGCCACACCTTCGTCGACCGCGAGGGCCGAACCGAAATGAGACAGTCTGGACACAAGCTTCAGTCTCTTCTCATCGACAGCTACCTGGCAACAGTCCACCGTGTGGTAACAACATTCAATAAGAGTACCATCAGAAAACAGCTGCAAACAAGAATCACTTTCCCCACCTTCCCCTTTCTCCATTTTTACACCTGTTCCCTCGTCCTGTCAATCTTTCTTTAGTCCCACCCACCTATAGGAACTCTGTGGGTTACATTACAGTAAAGGCTAAATAACACATTTTTTTCCTTTGTTCCATTAGTTGTTTTTTTTAACTTTTGGTTGCTATAGCAACTGTTGTAAATACAACAAAACATCTGCTCCTAATTGGGTGATGCGAACTGATCAGTACGATGATGCAGGGCTCTGACGAACATCTTAAATTTGTCCATGTTTTCAGCAGAAACAAGATATGTTAAATGAATGAGGTTTTTGTCAAACAGCTTCTTATTTTCACATTCAGCTGTTCAACATCAACATGGTAAATCATCTTGTAGCTCTGTCTTTGGTCTCCACCGGCTCCTGAGGAAATATCTGGCTCTTTAGCTACACTGTGAAAAAAAAAAGGTATAAAAAAACAGTCAAATGACAAAAACCGTAAAATTAAAGTAAAATGTCCTAATTCAAATAAAGTGTAAAAACAATAAATTTACAGAAAGGTTCATTAATATTTCTACAGAGAAAAACTGTTATTTTACAGATTTCTTCTAAATTATTATGATCAAACATCAAACACCATTAATAAAGTGACGCCACTAAAGTTTCTGTAAAGAAACTTTTTCCTAATAATAAAATGAAGTGTCACTCAATGAAATATTAACACAAGCTTAATATTGTAAAGTAAACCTTTTGTTTTGGAAGACAAAGTAAAAAATACTGTAAAACAGATTAAAATCATCTCAAACTTCAACTTGCAGTATTTGTGTCAACATTGAATCTTTAAGTGTAAAGTAATGTTAAAACCTGTAGAAGCTCAATCTCAATACAATATTTACTGATTCAGATCAATTTTCTTACATTTCTCATAAAATATAATATACTGAAGAAA